TGACTTTGCCGGAACCTTCCTTGAGGACGACACGAGCAGAGGCGGACTTTCTTCGGCCTGTTCCGAATATATATTGAGCAGCGAAACCTCCAGGAAGTCTCGACTTGACATATTTCTGCAGGTCATCGTATTCCAGCTCCTCCGTAGACGGAGCTTCCACAGCGGAGACTGGTACAAGAAGCTTAGGGTTTTTGGGCGTAAGAGACAGAGAGAGGCGATTGGTGTTGCTAAACGGCAGCGCACGAGGCTTCTGCGAAAGTTGAGATGAGAAGGAGAGAGAGGCGAAAGATGATACGAGGGATGCCATCGGAATCGCCATATTCGATCACTGGTGGAGTTGACGTTCAAGGGCCGGAGGGTCTCTTTCTTCCACCCGAGCAGATGAGCACTTGACAGTGGATATAAGACCAGAATGCTTCTTACGAAATACGGATTATGTAATTTTTTGTGAAACTAGACCATGGAAACAAAGTGAGATTCAAGATATTCTTTCAGTTGAGTATCTCTTTAATCCTTACAAATACTTACATTTTATGAATGTAATATGTATTCTTTTCTTTTAACTCATCTCTAACTCGAAAATCACTATATCTAGAAAAATATGGAGTAATTAATAACGATCGCATAAATCTACTAAAAATTTTGAAAATTATCTTTTCATACTTTTGAGGCAAATATGAGAATTATAGCAATGCCAAACTAATGATTCACATTTTTAATGAGTTTTAACAACCTAAAAACAAAATTATGTATTTTATAAATGATATAACAAATTTCCCAAAATAAATAAATAAATAAATGATACTATCGTATAACAAAGAATAAGAGGAAATCAATGAGTCAATATTATTTCATTATCAAGAAGAGGTTGCTAAGATTGGTCATGGACTAACAAGAAAATTAATACGAGTACATACTACAAATTATAGGGATAAAAAACTTACAAGAATGTAAAATAAAATGTACCACATTTGGAGTTATTAAAAGCACATTTAAATAACAGAAAAATTATATTATTGAGGGAATTCTACATGTCATATTCAGTGTAGTGTACTTGTATTGACAAATTATATTGTAGGATCGTTATGTATTGCGCACAGCGTACCGATTGCACTATTACGTATTGATTTTTCTTTTTTCTTGATTTCTTCTTCTTTATTTTTCTCTTTTTCAATTCTTTTCTCCTTTTCCATCAAAATACTAGCAATTTAATTGCAATTTTATTTTTCTTTATCTTCAACATATTTACATCTCAATCTATTTTTTATTCTATATCAATTCCTAACAAAAAATTATTAATATAAATAAATAAGTACATTGCATTTCAAGGTTTTTTACACAAATATTACTAAAATAAAATTTATTTACACAAATAAAACTATTAGTTACTAAAATGCAGTGATATAGTAACTTAAGTTTACAAATTAAACATAAATGACTATGGTTTCAATGTTTCATTACTTCTAAAGTCACGAGTCACATTTTGTAAACAATCTTTATTTTAATCATAAATATGTAATTATTTCAATATAATATACAAGTATATTTTCATATGATTTCATTTCCATATGTGTGAGTTACATATTGCTCATATGTGTGTATTACAAATTACTTGTATTGAAATTTTATCGATAGATATGCTTGTTTGAGAAATATATTTACACTTACACGTTTTTCAAATAAAAGCACAAACATTTCGGCCAGAAACTAGGGTTGGACCGGGCACAGGTCGGGCCGGGATTTGGGCGGGACTGGGTTTGGGAATTGACGGCCCGGTACAGATCCGGGTCGTGCCAAGCCCGTTCTAGATCTTTTTAATCTGGTTTTTCTTATTTATTCCTACCCCCTACCCCCACCCCCACCCCCAAACCACCCAGCCCCAGCCACCGGTTCCGGGCCGGGCCTGGGCAGGCTTTTTATTATTGAGGGAAGGCCCAGAACCGGCCCGGGTTTCCACCGGCTCCGAGCCAGGCCGGTCTCAGGCCGGTCCTATTTTTTTTTTGTTTGGCTTTTCTAATTAACCCCCGCTCCAACCAACCCCCCCCCCCCCCCCCCCCCCCGTACGGCCCCAAGACCCGGTCCTGGTCCCGGTCTGTCGGGCCGGGCCAGACTAGTATCGTACTGTAGCAGCCCGAGCCGAGTTCCGGGCCGGTATGAACTGGCCCGAACATGCCTACCACAAACTATATTTGAAAATGTTTTCCAAGTTTACAAACGAAGTTCGTCGAATACAACGCATTTATTTTTCAGATACTTTATAAATAAGGAGCCCGTTTGGTAGCACGAAAATCGGCTGATTTGGCTGATCTGCTGAAATATATGAATTTGTGGCTGAAGTGGTTGCATTGGCTGATTCTGCTGATTTAAGAAAAAAATAATTTTAAAATATATTTTATTAATAAAATAAAGAAAATATTATATGTAAAAATAGCTAAAATGGTCATTTACTGTAAATTCAGCCAATACAGCCAGAAAAGTAACTTCAACCTTACTTTTTCTACTTATTACACAATTCAGCGCGTGAAAGCAAAAGTTACGTGTTTAGTGAAAAAAATGGTTGATAAGTCTGATAAGCCGAAAACAGTGTTGCCAAACGGCCTCAAAATGTATTTAAAAAGGAAAAATTATTTGTAATAATCCCAACTATTGACGGTCCGCTTATAATAATCCCAACTATCGATTATCTCAGAATAATTCCAACTTTAGTGACCTTCCGCCAATAATGGTCCGACATGACCGGCTATAAATAAATTTCTATAGTTTCTAATGTGAATGAGAAGAGACAAAACAAGTAGTCCATATAAATAAATCAACTTTTAATTTTTAAGCTTTATTTCTATTTAAAATCCACTTGTTATAGCATGTCATATCTGGTCATGGATCATTATTGGCGGAAGGTCACTAAAATTGAGATTATTATGTGATAACCGATAGTTGAGATTATTATAAGCGGACCACCAATAATTGGAATTATTACGATCAACTTTTCCTTTTAAAAATGACTATTTCTTTTATAATTCAACAACATATTTGCAAACCAAAGAGCTCAATCGAGGACAAGGTATGGCCAGTGAGCCACACCTCCAGCTCCAAAATCAAAAGCTTATATAAGTATATAACCCACGAAGAAATGAAGTCACAAACTTGAGTGATTAGATCCTGAACCAAAGCAGCATGATAAATAATGAAACTCTTTCCTAGCTGCTAGCCTACTACTACCAAAAAAGGAAGTGAATAGATAGTTAAAAGATATTGTCCTTAATAGGACTAAAATAATGAATAAGTTCCAAATTAGGAGTAATTGTTAATTTATTCCCCATATAAAAGTTACTAATTGATCGGTTATTTGTTTTTCCAAATTTCCCCTCAACTAATCCAAAATTGATTTGTCAGACTTATCCTTTCCATCTGCATTCCTAGTGTTGTAGCCCTTTTCTTGTCTCATCCAATCCATTCTTCTCTTCATCCTCAAACATTTCTTCTCTCTCAAATTGATATCCAGATTTTTTCTCCGATTAATTCCCCCATCTCCAGCGAATTACGGAGGTGTGGATGATGAATTTCGCTCTTCAACTTTTGCTGCCGGCGAGCAGCAGCGGTTTCTCTCCTTCTCCCTCTTCTTCTTCTTCTTCTTCTTTCTTTTTCTTGTGCGGTAGATCCTTCTCTAATGACAGATCCTTCTGTTTTGTTGCAGCATGAAACTTGTCCACCATTACAGCCAATTTCTATTTATTTGTTTTTATCCGGTTGTCTACTTTTTCTAGATATATCTACTTCGATCCGCTTTCCTTGCTTTCTTCTAGTTTTTCTCTTTCAATTTTCTTTTCATTTTTTTTATTTTTTATTTTTTTTAACATTACAATTGTACGTTGAATAATTTTATAGTGTTAAGATGAAAAGATTTTTTTTGACATATAATGCCATTTTTATGAAAGTTTTTTTGACATATAATGTCATTTTTTATGACATTATAAGACATTTAAATGGAAATAGTGACATTGATGACATATAATGTCATTTTTTATAATGACATTGATTTCAGTATTGTAACTTTGTTTTTTTCCTAATGTTGTTAAATTTGTAATTTCAGTAAAAAAAAACTTGGGTTTTTTATTTTGAATATAAGCTTTACATTTTTCTGTATTTTTTCTAGTATCATTTGAAGATTGCAATATTACTCCTAGAATACAACAACTTTAGTGCCATGTTTTTCGTTGGTATTGCATTAATGTAACAAAGATAACAATACTTCTCATTTGGTAATACATTAATGCCATGTTTTCTAATTGAAAATGTAATCTTATTTCTGTCAGGATGACAATAATACCATTAAGATGACATTACAAGTTACAACTGTAAGTTGGCAATTGATGGGTAGTCATACCAGATTCAAAATCAGATTAGAGATCTACGGTAACGATGTAGGCGGCAGTGCCAGAGATCGCACCGTTCACGAAGGTGAGATATGGTGGTGTTGGCTGAGACAACGGTGAAGACGTCAGATATAGCAGCGGCTGGCGGCAAGTTCAGATGGGGTCACTTATTAGGCTTCATGGGGGGCATGTGGTGGTGGAGGCGGCAACGGCGGTGGCGCAACGTCGGCGGTGGTGGTGCTGGCGGATGTTTTGTGCCAGGGGACAGTTACGTTGGCCTCTCATATTTTCCTTTATTATTTGATTGATTTTATATTATTAATAAAATAATCTAATTTGCTCATTAAGGGTAATTTTGTCAACCCCTTCCTTTTTACTCCTACGGAACATTACACTCCTATTCTTGCAAAGTTGCAATTACATCAACTTTTACTCCCATTAAGGGAATTAACTCGATAGTTAACTGCTCTGTGTCTGAATAATGAGCACCTTACTACATAAATTAAATTTTTAAACCATCAAATAATAGTCAGCATTAATATACTAATAGTCAACTTCATTTTGGGGCTCCATAAAGGTATATAACTAAAATGTCCAAGACTTTCCTATAGACATACTGAGTACTCCCTCTGATCCAACTTATGGGGCTCCATTTTGGCTTACACAAACTAAGTAGATAAAATATTCTTAGCTTTTTGAATATGACTACTGACCTTACTCAATACTACTTTCATTGTTTGCAACAATCTCGTATCTTCCTCACAGCTTCATTTAATATGGGAGATTGTGGAAAACAATTTAAATTTGCATCGACATTATTACTAACATGACTTGTATGTAAGACAGCTTCATCTTATCCGATCAATAGGGCGAGAGGGAGTAGTTTTACTTTTAAAGGTGACGCCGCATAATAATGCTAAGGGTCAAGGTAGATGATTTCGGCCTGGACAGAGGCACGTCTATAGCGGAGAAGTTGTTTCAACATCTCCCAAGCTCCATCGCTCGAAGAGGGCTTGATAGTCATTGTTTCAAGATCAGGTGAATTCCCCAGAATCAACTTTATGAAGTTCAGCTCTTGTCTGAAACCAGAGATTCCAGATATCTTAACCTCCCGCAGTCTTTTAAACTTAAAATTCTGATACTTCTCTTCCCCCAAGGCAATCCCAACTGGTGGTGAATTCTGTTCTTCTGCGCGACCCTGTACATGATAGTGTAATACCCAATAAATTCAATTACTTGTCGATTTGTATCCATGAATTTGTTTGCTATCTCATTGCTTTCTGCATCTAATAAAAGATCAAAGAACCTATTTTATTGGCCTGGAAAATTTTTAATCTGATCTGGAATTTTAAAGACCTGGTTTCATATGAATTTTTTAAAGATCTTTCCTGAAATATAACATCAACTCATCAAGTTTAGTCTAAATATTTCTAGTCTCGTTTGCCCGAATGTTTCTGCTATGTTCTTGTTTCTTGCCAGGTATAAGTCCTTTCTGATTTGATTTGGCTTAGTCATATTAAAATAAGAACAAATTAATAAGCAAAAAATAAGCAATAGAACAACACTCTAGGTTACCTTGGCACTCTAGGTTACGTTAGCTCACAAGATACAGAGTAGTTATTAGACTTTTTAAAAGAAAGCTTTTCAAATAAGTTTGGTCTGGTGGTAAACTTATTTTTAAGTTTGAACATAATTAATAAGCTCCGTTAGGTAGCTTTTCGAATAAGGAACATGTTTTTTTGTTTTAAACCCTATTTTTATTTCAAATTAAATTAAACATGTCCTTTTATGTCATTTTGATCTTTTGTATTTCAAAACGATGTTATCAACTAACATTCGCCAAATACTATATGAAATTGACTTAAATTAAGTTGAAATTTTAGCAATAAATAATAAGTCACTAATTGACTCATAAGCCAATAGCTGACTCTAGTGCTCGGATCAATTTTGGTCTTAGTCTTAAAATTTTGCAATTTCGGTGCCAAATTGCAGTGAAATTTACAGGGATTAACTAATAATAACATTAAAGTCATACATTGTAGAATAGTTTAACTCGAATCACTCATCATTTCAATTTATGATGTAAATGTGCTCAGAAGAACATTCACACGAGACCAAAAGTGATAGTATAACATAAGTAAAAGTGACAGTGTAATCAAACCTGTCAAACCAAATTGATATTAACTCACCACAACTTCAAGCTCCTGAAGATTGGGAGAACTCCGGAGTAGGCATAGAGCCGCTAGATACTCATCCATAGAGTTGAAATTGATGCGTACAGAAAGGAAACTAAGCTCATTACAAGGTCTAGGTAGTTTTCCCGGTACTATACCAGCAGCCAAATACTGCAAGACAAAAAAAATATGAAGAATGAAAAACATAACCATATCACTAATATTTTGTTTGGTTGAGTAAATTTCAAGGGGAGGCACAATGTATTTTGTTTTGCTGATTGGCCTCTATTTTTTAGTCTTACACTAGAACATAATTATATGTTTAGTAAATCATGTACTAAATAATTTTTCATCTTCACTTTCTTTCTAATTATTTAAATTTAAAACGTAAGAGTAAATTAATTAAGTATCATCCATTCCCTCCCCTCCTATGAAATTCTCCCAAGTCCCTGACATAACTAGGGCTAAACAATTATTTGCTCATGTGGAAAGTGACCAATAGCAATAACATTGCCAATAATTGATGAGATTTGAAAATTTCTCGTGATCTTGGAATTATTCAGGAATCAAGAATGAAACTCCTAGAGGTCGATTTGAATGGAAGACACTTTTCATATATACGGAGTATCTTCATATATAGTTATGATTTTAAAAATAAAAATGAAAGATAGCATACTACATGACCATAACATTTGATCATCCTTTATTTGTTTTTAGATTATGAGCATTCTATATATAAATTATAGACTAAGCCCTCAAGGTCTTCCTCTCCAAAACGCTTCAAAAAGCTCCCTCCGAACTCATCCTAAGGCATCACCCAATCGAGCAATATGAAATAAATACCTTCAAGAAGTAGTTCTGCACTTCGAGCCTTTGTATTCTGGGCAGATGAGCAAAAAACTTGACTAAATTTCCATTTCCAGCAAAACCCATGTTTTCCTCAACATCATTCGCATATAAACCAATAGAGACAGTGGCCAGATAGAAAGTACCTTTGAAACTAACATCATCGAAAACACCCCCAACATCAAAGTAGAGGAGATTAGGAGCATGTATCTTCAAATGATTAAACCCATCAAAGTTCATCAAAGTCAACCGCTCAAGCAAAGAACAGCTATAGATGAGATGCTCAAATGCTTCTTGTTCCATGGAAATGTGCTGAAGATCAAGACTCTTCAAGCATTTAAAGCCACTGAATGTCACCGGCGGTTTCAAAAGACAATTGAACAGTTCCAAGTGGACTAGTTTGTGGAAGAGGTATGTGGCTGATGGGAGTTTATAGCGATGGCCCTTCCAAATCTCTAGTATAAATTCCTTTATAGGACCTCTAGACAGGAAAAGAATCCATTTATCAATATCAACAACGTTTTGAAGATCCCGATGAGAAAGCTTGAATTTGTGTACTGGTCCCACGTGAAGTAACAATACATGGTCAACTATGCTGACTATCTTGCTTTTAATAAGGGAATGGTCTTGGGGAGAAGCAAAAAGACTCTGATTGTCAAATATGAGGTTTGGAAGAGTAACCCATTTGTATCTCCATTTACTTGATAGGACACTTGTTGTGACGGCATCCCTAAGTGACAAGTGTGATAAGATCTTGTCAGTAATTTGTGCCGGCAAATTGCTGATCCGGTCAAGGTCTATTTCCATCTTCAAGGGTTCCATTTGCTTCTGCATGGAAATATACAAACAAGATATCCGTCATGGCTAAGAAAGTATGTGCGTTGTGATATATGGTGGTGAGATGAACAGTTCAAATTGAGCTTTTTGAAAGTCTCATCTTAAGAAGATGCATTAGGAAATGAAAATCAAGCCGAACATTAAGCATTGCAATTAATTCCAATGGATGAATGCTAATGTTCTACATTCTTTGTTTTTTAACTTATCTTTGGTAGATAAATGGGTGAAAAGAGAGATGGAGAAGGGAAAATAATGGAGAAAGAGAGTAGATAGTGAGTTGTTTGATGGGAGAGTGGGTAGATAATGATTAGAAATGCATTTTCCCCCAATCCCTTCCTTATTGTGGGCAAAGATTTGAGAAGCACAAGGATCGGATCAAATTTGAAGACAAAAACGTGGTGGCAATAGTCTACAACTAAGACTTCTTAAGAAAACAAAGTGATACAAGACAAAAGTGCATTGTTATATTTAAAAAGAGAATTTTTGTATCACAAAAATGCACTAATATCAGAACTAAAATATGCATTAATGAATTGCACAGTGATTTTTTAGATACATAGATGTGCACTCTTATGTACGTAGTATAAAAGATGCACTTCGACTACTAACTGTTTCACGTTCCAGTTTCACATAAATTTACACTTATACCATCATGTATGTTGAATCAAAAGGATCTAAACCATTCTTTCTTTAAGTGATAAAGGGCCTAGAGTTGTTCTCACATTTCACTGGAAGAGCGTGTTGAAATAAGGCGAGTAAGAAATCTTTAACATACCATTGTGTGCAGTGAGAAACATCTCAACTTCTGAGGTACTTCACTTCACAAAAGGTTAAAGGGAATTAGGGAACAAGCTTCTTGCACCATGTTGCTTGAAAATCAATATGCAAAAAAATTAACCATCACATCCACATAATATAATTCAATAGTTGCATAGTATAGAAGCATCATTGCAGGAAAAAATGATCAATTTTGGAGCCTTTTCCCCCATTTTATTTTGAAGAAGGATCTCCCTCTTTAACATCCTCAGAGAAAGAAGACGATCCCTCAGGTCAATGGCCAGGGAAAACATTAAAGTACAAAACACATCTAGGCCAGTAAGGGATAACCCTCTTATATTTTCCTTATTTACAGTTCTTATAGACAATTAAGAATACATTCAATAACATGATAGTAATTAAATACAATTCTTCTATTCAATTTAATTTTCAATTATGCTTAATCAGGAAACTAGAAAACGAATAGCATCTGTAAATGGGCCAATTCAACCAATCGTGAAATCAGAAGGAACTCACACGTTGTTGGCAGAAGAAGGGGGGAGGAAAATAAGTTATAGCAGGTGCAGTGACCGGAAGTTCAAGAACTCCCCTCCCAAGTCCCGCCGAACAAAGTTTCATCAACAGAGGAGTTGGGGAGGAGGGGAATTGACTAGCCACTTCTTCACTACCGGACCTGCGCATGGGCCAATTGGGCCAACATGCCGCAGCTTACTTGAAATGTAAACAGTTACCTGGCAATCCAGGTGGTATTTAAAAAAAATCCTTTTCTTTTTTCCTGCTTCTTTCTTCTTCTTCAGCCCTAGCTCCTCGCCTCTCCCCTATTCTTCAGCCCGCCCCCCGCCCCCCGCCGCCCCGCCGCCCCGCCGCCCCCCCCCCCCCCCCCCCGCCCTCATCCAGGAGTTCCGCTGCCTTTCAAGCCGTCACTCGCTTTCAGGTTTTGATATCAATTTCGGGGCCCGTCATTGTTTTTGAAAATGCATGATTTGTATCTCTAATTAATCACCTATTCTATATCATTCGCGTCACGAGTTGTCCGACAAAAAATCCTAATCTCTATTTCTGCCATGTCTACGCAATTGATGGAGAGCAAACCTGCTTACAAAAGCGTGAGCTGTAACCTGTCCGCGACTCCGCATCCGACCTTCAGCCGTGAACTTCATCCATTTTCTGCATCTCCTATGACAAGTTTACTCAAGACTCCTTTAATATACTACCTCCCTCCGAAAAGAAAAGTTCTCACTTTCCAAAAAATCACTTATTTTTTAATCACTTTTATAAAAAAGTTCTCATTTCTATAAAAAAAAATCACTTTTAATCAAAAAGTCACAACTACTCTTATTTTTTAAGCACTTTTTGTTTGATTTGACATAAAGCAAGTGTATAATTGGAAAGTCAAAACAAAACTCTACCTTACATAAACATGTGTGTAGGTCAAACTAGAAACTTCTTTACGGGACGGAGTGAGTAATAAATGGTGCTTATTAAGACTCACGTTAATAAGCGACACATAAAACAAGCAGTGTTGTAAGTTCATGTTTACTTCAAAGGATTTAAAACATCGTTTAACATTAAAATGTCCAAAATAACCTTATAGATATATACACACACAAACATTCATGAACACAAGTATATAATATAATATGTGGGATCACCTCGTACGCTTAGTCACTTACCCACACCCCTGTCCCCTGCCCTGTATCCCAACCCCTCACCCTACCCTCAATTGCACACCCTTGACCCTTTCCTACCACTACCCTTACCACGACCTTATCCTCCACCCCTACTCCCACCCATACCAACCCCCACCATACTCGTAAAGGTTGGGTTGAGGTAGGGAAGGTGATATGGGGTAAAGGGGTAGGGGTAAGGGGATATGGTCGGGTCAATGGTGAGGGTGGGGTCGGGGGGTGGGGTCGAGATGGAGTCAATGTAGGGGCAGGTGGTAGGGGTAAAAGGGTAGTGTCGAGGTAAGGGGTACAAGTGGGTGTAAGGGGTAGGGTGGGGGGGTAGGGGAAGGTGGTAAGGGGTAAAGGGGTAGGGGGTGAGGGTGGAGTGGGGTAGGGGTAGGGGTGGGTCGAGGTAGGGGCAGGGGGTAGGGGTGGGGTCGGGGTCAGGTAAAGGTAGGGGTAAAGGGGTAGGGTAAGGGGTGAGGTGAGGTAGGGTAAGGGTAAGGTGGGGGTGGGGTCGGGGTAAGGTAAGGTAGGGTAGGGAGAGGTAGTGGGATAGCAATAGGGTATGGGCAAGGGGTAAAGGTAAGGGTAAATTCGGAAACTGAAAAAGATTAAAGTGCCGCTTAATTAATACATGGGGGTGGTATGCTTAGTAAGCGGTACTTTAAGCACATCTTTCGGAGTTTCGGTTAGTAAGCAGCGTTTTAAGAAACTTGCGTGTTTATTTCACATGTCTTGCTAACCTAACTGTGACTTTAGCTGCGAAGTAAACGCCTCCCTAGGTGTGTAGTAACTTTGATTGCTTAATCTCTGGTAGAAGTTTTTGACATTTTCGGTTTAAATCGAGCAAGTTTAACAATGGACTATTGCTTTAAATAAGACTAAAACATTAACAAAGTTCCAAAACAGGAATTATCTTTAATTTATTCCCTAAATAGGACTATTTTAATAAGCCTACCTATTATACCCCTCTCTCTAACCGTACAATCTTGATCCGTCACTTTCTCTTCTTTCATCTTTTCCCCCTCTCCTTCCTCACTTCTCAAAAAAGGATGAGACCTAGGTTCGTTCCCCATTTCTCCTCATGCATCAATGCTTAATCCGGTCTCGACACCTCAATTTTTTTCTCTTTCTCTCATCTCCGTCGATTTTAAAGGTATACAAGATGAATTTTCTCTCCGTTTCCAGCCACCAGTGAACAAGGAACGACGCCGACCTCCTCCTCCTCCTCCTCCCAATGGGTAATGAGGGTTTGAGACATTCCTGAGGGTTTATATAGAGCGGGTTGTTGGGTAGGTTTTAATTTTAAGAATTGGGCTGGGTTTCTTGGGCATATTCTAATAAATTTTAGGATTGTTTTTATGTTGGACTCGGATGTTTGGGCCAATTGTAATAAATTGGGGGAATTTGACTTTGCACCCCACTTTTTTGGTGATATTTGACTTTGCAAAATCAAAGTTTTTTCAAAATGGGGTGCAAAGTCCAATATCACCCAAAAAGTGGGGTGCAAAGTCAAATTCCCCCCTAATGAATTTCAAGATTGTAATAACCGATGGTTAGCACCTTTTTAGTATTGGGCTGATTAGTATTAGGACTATGGAACTAGTCTTTTTACCTGTGCGTTGCACGGGATGAGAAGTTATTTTATTTTAAATGAATGCATAACATTCACCTTTGAGTTTGGATTAAAAAGCTATCGATTACATTTAAGAGAAAATTACATTTAAGAGAAAATGTAACACTATACATTTGTAAAAACTTATTTGTGTACAACACTTAAGGTGGAGTTTATTGATCTACCATTATCATCACATATAAGAAATTTTAATTAGCTGGACTCTTGAGTGGGGCAATATTGAATAATGTTCATCTTTAATTGGTATTCTACTACATCCAAATAATGAATTTATAATTCTCTTACAGTGACATGCATTTTGCTAAGTTTTCATACAGAGTATTAAGTATCCTAGTGATTTCCTTGAATTTAGACATCAAATGTTTTTTCGATCCTCAATGAATGAAAGTTTTTTTCGCATCCCGTTTCTAAATGCATTTTTATTGATCTAAAAATATGGCTTAAAATGTAGGGGAGATATTTGCAACCTAGAAATTTGTATTTACTACCTTCATTTTCAAATAATTGCAACGTATAGAATTCTACACTATTTTCATTATCTACTTTGAGCACGTTTTATTTATAACTACTTTTGTCCCTCTAAGATTGAGACAAGGGAGAGTGATGCGGTTTTTAAGTAGAGTTATGTGATTGATAATGAATTGAAAAAGTGAGAATAAAGTTAGAATAAATTAGAGTCACACAATTGTTGGATTTTTATTACCTGGAGTCACACCATGCATGTCCCATAGTTCTTTATTACCTGGTGCTGCATTAGAAATACTCTCTGTTGAAAACACATTTAGAAGCCCGTATTAAGTTTATTCGGATTTTATACTTGAAGAACATTATACAATACTAATGTTTGATTTCGGTTTACATGATTCGTTCTCTATTTCAGATTTCTAAAATACCACTCAAGGCTATAGTATTGAATAATAAAGCTACAGATGCAATGCTTCACTTTACAACTACAGAAATATAATTTAAGAAAACACTAAATCCCTTTTGGAGATGTACATTATTACCTTCGGTTTGTTCGGGCTTCTCCAGATTGTTGTATCTAAGCCTTCCAACCACCCAATGTGTTTTGACAACTCGAAGAACAAAATTTTGAAACAAAAAAAAATGGGAAGAAATTACAATGGAGGTCGATTTGTTGGGCACCAATCTTGATTTGAATGAACTATGATTTTTTATTAATCAGCTTTAAAATTAAAGAATCTGTTATAATCAGACTGGAAATTGGCTAAATTGAGATAATCACCTTCAGATAACCTTGACGTCAAACGTGTTGGTGGCGCCGGCGGATGCGGCAGTGATGTTTTGGTCTGGCAACCACATGCTTCTCCTTCATCCCATTGCAGTGAAATTCTATCGAGCCTTGCTTAATATGCACAGGGTTGAGAGTGAACAGTGATATGCCACAACATCATTCAAATTACATGCCTTTGGTTGATATAGTGAACAGCTAAAACAACATATCGGTGGAGAAGAGTTGCATTGACGGAAGATAAAAGATCGGTTGAAGAAGATGGAAATAAATGGAAAAAGAAATACGAAGGAAAGAGATCGGTAGATGTTTTTTAAGTGAAGGGTGAAGATCATTTTTAGATGAACGGTAGAGATGAATTTGTATTGTTATTAAGTATAGAGGATTATATATTATATTACTCCCTCCATTCCGTTGGAATGTTCCCGCTTTCCTTTTTTGGATGTCCCGTTGGAGATTTCCCATTTCCCAGTTCCCATTATCCTACATCAAAACAGGGTCAAACAGTGTCGAAACAGTGCCAAAAAGTGTCAAAACAGTAAAATTTACCCCCTGGTAAGTTTATTTCCTTAATATGTGTGTAGGTCAAACCGGTAACATTTCAACGGGACGGTGGGAGTATATTATTATTGCATTTCATTATCAGTATAGATTGTATTAATAATACAGAAAATATTAATATTACACATTATTATCATTAGATTGCATTTCATTGATTATGAAATTTTGTTAGATTACAACAAACACTTTAAAAAAATCGCATATAACAAAAAGAAATATTTTTACCATAAGTATATCTGAAGTATATTAGTGTTAGTATTATTCTTATCCAGATACCATTAATTTTATAAATAACTCAAAAATGATTTTTTTGTATTGATTTAAATAAACTTTCTCGAGAGCCAAGGTCAATATTTGTCGCATGTTGGATTGTTATTAAAAAAAGTCAATGATAACGCATTGTCAACTTTTTGTTGCAGTATTAAAAGTAACAAATTGTAAGCGTTTGAAAATATTGATTTGTTGTGAAGATGGCGAACAAACCGACCATACTAGAAATGTTGTTTACAAGTAAGTGTTTCAAAAAGTGTAGATTGTAAAAATCCTATGGTAATATTTGTTTGTTTTACTTATTTCAAAACATACTTAATACATCAATTGCTTGTTACCTATCGTTTCCTTAATTATAATTTATTATATATATTACGTCTCATCTATTTGCATACATTAATACATCAATTAATAATATAAACAAATATAAATATATAGATTTTTATATAATTTATGTCTGTGCATCGCACGGGTGAGAATCAAGTAGTCTCAATTTGAAGTGAAAATTGCCTAGGTTCTCTGAATGTACTATGTATGCCTCTCTCACTCTCGGTCAGCCTTAGAACTTTTATTAATATCTGAAGATAGTTTTAACAGCTACACAATTTAATAGTTTTCACGAGTCATCATTTACCATTATGATTATATATTCAATAAGATTATGATATCTAAGATATATATGAAGAGTGTTAGAAAAGAGATGGAGAGGCCACCTATGAAAAAACTAGTCAATTAAGCATCCCTAATTATGATGGGCGTAAATTGGGTAAAATTTCATAACTTAGCTTCCTTTATTATTTTATTTTGCAGATATTACATGCTAGATAGCCGAATGACTTGACATATGTT